AAATAATAGGCCGTGTTTTAATTCTTTCAAAAGGAATTAATTTTTCAACAACAATTCGATGCTTTTTTCTGACGGATTCAATTAAATAATTTCAAGAAATTTATGAGAAAAGTTTTCTTTATATACGTAATTAAAATTTTTGCATTAAACCAACCATTTAAAAATTTTTTTTTTAAAATCTGGGATCTGGTTAATTAGAGCGAACCAGAGGAATTAATGAGTTTTACTGTATTTTCATAGATTCTACTCATGGTTCAGGCAATAGAGAAATTTACATGGGAAAATTGGCTGGAATTTTTATTTTTTTCATACTTAAGTTTATATTTATTTTTGGCGCTGAACATAAATCAGCATTTTGCGACCTCTGTTAGCTATTATACTTCATCATTTTTTATACTGATGGCAAAGCAGAGGAAATCCGTTGTAGTTGTTGGGGAGAAAGTTCATCAGTTTGTATTACTAGTATTTTTATCAATTTGTTCTACTGAAACTATTTAACCGAAAATTTATTTTCTAATTATTCTTTCATGCTTTCGGGGGCTGCGACATAACTTCCTTACGGGAAACGCAAAATTAAGCATAGTACGCAAGAAAATTAACGAAACACCTTGAATTTCTTTTGATCTAATGATTGGATTTTCCCGTAATAGGACGCAATCTCAATGGTTTAAAGGGGTCACTTCAAATAGGCTAATTAGTTAGTACTGATGATATTTTAAGTTAAGAAATCAGCACAAAAATACGCTTTCTCTGAATAAACTTATCATGTTTTAGACGGATTATGATTTCTAGTCCTCGAAATATAGGGGGTAGGCGCAAAATGCGAAATATGGTAAGGAAAGTGGTCCAAAGTTTGGAAGTGGAAAAGTTGAAGTTAATTTTACTTTTTTAGTTTGAGAGTTAAAATTTTTTTCACACAATTATAAAATTTCTTTATCCTACTATAGTTCCACATAAAAAGTAATTTTTAATAATGATTTATTATTTTTTATTATTTTATTTGATACTTGTTGGTAAAAATTTTAATTGCAAGTTATACAAATTTTTACACCATTTTAAAGAATTCAATTTTATATGGCAAAATGCAATATTTGAAAGAAATAGGTTGAATAGATCTTGAAAAATCCAATTTTTGAAAAAAAAATCAGATGTTTACAATTCGTTTTCTCATGAACTACTTTACGGCTAAATTGTAGAAGAAAAGACATACTAATTCATTGAAAATACGTTTCTTTGTAGGATTTCGTAACTTAAAATATCGTTTTCACTAACTAATTTTAAAGAAGTTTATCATTAGCTATTTAGTTGATCACTCAAAACAAAATCTTTCGTTCCAAGTCCCGTAAGCAAATCTCTCCTTTTAGACAAATCAGCAATCTTTGATCTGTATTTAGATGTTTTTGACAGTCATTATTCGCTAAATCATATAAGTTTTTTCGAAAAGCGAACGGTGAAATACTAAACGAAACTTACGTCAAACTCGTGTGCAATTTCAGTGTATTCTGGGAGCTAACTAACAATTTTTTTTGTCTGATTTTAATACCATTTGATAATATGGTACAGGGGTTAGAACTGTTGTTTGTCAAGAAAAGTTCAATGAATAAAAAAAAATTTCTAAATGAATGGTAAATGAATGAGAAGCAATTGAAGCGGTTGGCGATCAAAGCGAGCAGGGAGCGGTCTCTCCTAAATTTAGTAAGAAGATTTAAAAAGCTACTCATACTTTGTATGTTAAAGAAAATACTAAATAAGTGATGATGAACTGAATATGAATAAGGCGAAGGGATATTGAAATATAAAAAAATGTAAATAAATTACTCAAAGCTGCAGATTTTAATAATTAATCAGTTTAGAAGAATGAAAACAGCTTAAAAATTATCCCCAGTTGTCTTGTATTCAAACAATGGTGATAAAATATACTTTTGATCATCGGTTATCACTGATGGTTTGATTTTTTTTTATATATTTCCTATAAGAAAATTAAAAAAATCCTTCCCTGTCATAGTTAAATATGAGTTCTTCTAAAAAAAACTTTCATGGTTATTATCTTAATTAAACTTTTGTTTGACGGCTTATCATGAATAATTATTTTTCGTCATGAGCCTACAATAATGTCTAGACATCGACGCTGCCTTTTATAATAACCCTAGGAGAAAGAAATGCTTCGCAAAAAAATAAAATGAGTATTTGTTCTCTAAAATTAAATTTGCTTATTTATTTATGAAATTTTACGAGCAACAATTATTTATGAAAATTAAGTTTCAACGAGCTTCTGCAGTTAAATATGTTCTCCTTCATAAAACTTAGGAAAATTTATTTAATCAGAACATAATATTATCTATTTATTTTAAAGTTGAATAATATTTTTATCGTACATAATTTTCATTAAAGTGAAATATACTTGAGCATTAAGATGCCTTCCTTTTAAAAGTCATTCTTTTTAACTAAATATTAATTTTAAATTTAAAATGAATTGTTTTTACATCAGAATAAGTGTTTCCTGATGTTTTTGTAGGAAGTTTCCTGAAATTTTGAAAAGTTTTAAAGCTTGATGCTTTAAAAGAGATTTTGTCAAGAAATTTTTTTTTAGATTAATGCTACAATTATTTTGAAAAAGTTTTTTCTATTTATTTTTATGTTTTAATTCCTAAGCATCAATATTATTTCTTCAGAAAAAGTTTTCTGAAATTCTCTTTTCGTTATGTTCTTAAATCATCAACTAATTAATTTTAATATTAAAAGTACTTTCTTTTGATATTGTTTTAATCTTTTGGTGCCCAATTTTTATTAAAAATATTTTTCATACTTATTTCATTATTTTGTATTAATTTAGGTTAAAATAAATACAAAATATTATATTTAGCGTTTGAGTAATTTATGGTCACGAAATACAGTATGAAACGCCGGTCTCTTTTTCTGTGTTAAAGGTAAAATCTTTCAAACACGTCTCACTTCCAAATAATAATTTTTCACATTTGCGTTTATTTGCAGTTATTTGGATCTGAAAGATACAGTTATTCATCATCGAATTTTCTTTAATTTGCAAATTCAAAAATTAATAAATTTTTGAATATGAATGACAAAAAAATTTCTATTTTTTTGTTTTTGGATTTTATATTTTAGTACAAATATAAATTCGATAATAGAGCAGATATTTTTAGATTAACTATTAGATTGTTTTCTATAATTAAAGTTGCCAAAATATATTTTTGCTTGTAATTAGGGCATCAGATATATATATNTTTAAAAAAAATTAATAAATAGCATTGCTGTTAGCATTTTAAAATGACTTTTCACTAGCATTGACTGTTTTGTATACTTAAAAAATTTAATTGAATAATATATATATATATATATATATATATATAGTAGGAACATCGGTGCCTCAGGGGTATTTTAAAAAATCTGTAAGCCTAGATTTTAAAAAAAATCTATTTTTATAAGTTTTTTTTTTTTTAATGATCTTTGATTTTCAAATTTTTTTTCTGATTCATTATTATATTTCATGCATGAACAAAAATTGCTGATCAAAAGAATATAAAAATAGTAAAATTCGTCTATATTTTAAAAATAATATCAAGACGTTTTTTAAGACACTTACTTATCTGTATTTGTCTATTTTAAACTTAATGTTAAAAAATGTATATTTTTTTACTATTATCAAATTTTGAATGATGTGCGCAATTAATTAATTAACTTATACAGATTTAATAATATACACAATACAAGATATACTCTTAGATTTACACAATTAATTTTATTAACTTTCAGATTGTTTTGTTAGAAAATTGTTTTATTAGAAAGTTATATTTGGTAGAGTTACCAGAAGTGAATACTAATATAAATGTTTATTTTTTTCCAGCTCCAAAATTTGATCCATGTTTTTTTTTTTAATTGCTCTTTTTATTTTCAAAAATACTTTCCTGTATATTTAAAAAATAACATTTAACATTAGAATATTAAAAAATCTTTTTCCTTTCAAATATTAATCAGGCTTATGTTCATCTTATAAAATTTAAAAAATTGTTTTGCACTTAAACTGCTCGATTGAATTATAAATTTTTTTGGGGTTCCATGTAAAAAACCCCTTTCATAAATCGAAATTGGATCCCTTTCCTTCCCTTCGTTATTAATGGACTTATCTTCCGATCCCCCTCTATTCCCCTCCTGCGAGAGCGCATGCGCCTATTTGCCCATTCTCTTCGAAAAGACTGCTTTCCTTCGATGTCGGGTAGATAAAACCACATTGCCCGGCAGTGAAGTAAGCATTCAGATTGCTTCGTGCTGTTCCCTAACAGGTGTGATTGTTGCATCTTTTGTTTGAGATATTTTTTCTTCTTATCAAAATCAGTACACAGACTGTCAAGAGCTTTTAATAATTGAATACTGTTTGTATGGATAAGTTTTAATCTCTTCTTAGATAGCGGAGATTGTTCTTTTCTCCTATCGGACAACCATGTGATTCGGCGAGAGCAACTCTTGGAGAAGTTTCTGAAGATTTAATGGATAACTTTCAGTTTCGTTCATGTAGCTAGGACGATTTGAAAAGTTTTCGTTCATAAAATGCCATAGGTTTTGTGAGTTTGAAAGTTTTTTTAAAAATGAAATTTAGTTTTATTTTGTTTTCCTTACGCTCTTAGTTATTATAATTTTGTAAATTATTCAACCATTATAATTTTTTTCTTCACATTATTAAAGTGGATAATGTATTGAGGAATATAATATGAATTTTGTTAACAATAAAATATAAAAAAAAATTCAACAATATTTAGAATATACAGAAAATTGTATGATTGCCTAAGCTAAAAGAAATATTATTTCCTCGAAAAAGTTAAGAATTTAGACAACTTTCATAAGGAAGTGTTTGTTCATAAGAGAAAATAGTAAATAAATTTTTAAATCCATTGTGTTACGTTGACATACTGAAAACATTTAAAAACTTCAAATAATTACTAATTATGTAATATAAAAAATATGAAACAATATATTGAATTGCTCTTATAGATCATGAATTTCTCAGCTCAGTTAAAGTGATACTTTTTTTTCTCAAATAAGACTATGTAAAAATTGTGAATTACGTTTTATGACTGATCAGATGGTATGCAGGGTGGAATGCGTAAAATATCAGCCTTTCGCGAAAGCACCAGAATAGTGAAATACTCTAAATGCGCGAAGGGAGCGACAACCGATGACGATCTTGACGATGTGACTGTTATCAACAGTGCTGCCCCAGAAAACGTAAAATACGGGGCGACAGGATGCATCACCGCAAATGGTCCACGTGTTGTTCCAGGGATCATCACATCCAGCGGTGGGGAGATGTCCGGCATAATCAGCAACGAGAGACGAACTATGCCGATGGCTGTTTACGCCGCCGGACCTTCAACTCCTTCCGGATCTAACGAAAAAGCTTCAGAATCCAGACAGTCCCTCATAGATACTGTAACAAAGAGGGTGACACCCTCTGAGCCTTATGCTTTCATCAACAAAGCTCACATAGAATCGGAAATAGAGATTCCGAAAAAAACTAGAGAACTTAGACGGAAAGAGATCAAGAAAGATCTCGAGAAATGGGAGACGAGCACCTCGAGCAGTGACAGGCCGAAGTGCAAGTGGACGTTTGTCTTCGACCCTTCGGGTCGATTGTGCTACTACTGGTCTGTGGTCGTCAGCTTAGCGTTCCTTTACAACTTTTGGGTGATTATATATAGATTTGCCTTCCAAGAAATCACGATGGAAACACTTCCAGCCTGGTTTACTCTCGATTACTTAGCAGATTTTATTTACATTCTGGACATCGCCGTGCATTTCAGAACAGGATACCTGGAGGAAGGTGTCTTGCAGACTGATTCCATCAAGCTGCGGCAGCACTACATGAACTCCACCATGGTATACATTGATTGCATGTGTCTTTTACCATTCGATTTCCTTTACCTGTCCATCGGTTTCAATTCCATACTGAGAAGCTTTAGACTGGTGAAGATCTACAGGTTCTGGGCCTGTTTGGATCGGACAGAACGCCACACGAACTTCCCGAACGTTTTCCGCGCGATTTCTTTGACTCACTACGTGCTCGTGATATTTCATTGGAACGCTTGCCTCTTCCATATTATTTCGAAAAATGGTGGTTTTGGATCTAAAGATTGGTTTCCCAAAGTGGAAACAAGTGATGATGTACTTATAGAGTACTTGCATGGATTCTACTGGAGTACACTCTGTTTGGCCCATATCGGTGGTCTGCCACATCCGCGCACACGTGGCGAGTATATTTTCTTGTTGATTCAACTTTTATGTGGCTTATTCTTGTTTGCTACGGTGCTTGGACATGTAGCAAACATAGTGACTAACATCAGCTTGCCAAGGAAGGAATTTCAAGGTAAGGTGTTTACATCGTAATTATTTTAAGTCTTATTTCTAAGATCTTTTATTTTTCAAAGAATTCTTTGGATCATGAAGTGTTAATAAACAAAGAAAATAAATCATATCATAAAAATGAATAAAACAATCGCCATAGATCAATTGTAAGCAATTTTACTTGAACTTCCATTAATTAAAAAATAGATTGAATAAATTTAAATTTGGGTGTAAATTTAATGTCTGAAGTTATTTTACAGCTGATTTCTTTGAACATATCAATATTTCTTTTTAAGATCAGTAAAAATAGGACTTGCAACTTCAATTGAAACTAAATAATGATTCGCAACTTTGGAAAAGAAATGTGGTGAAAAAAAGACTTTTAATAACTGAATGTATTGAAATGTTAATTTGTATTGTAAAATTTGCTGAATTTTTTTTAATTGATTGTGGTTAAAATTATTTATTAAAAGCATATTTTATTTTAATTTTTTAAATTCTCTTTGACAATTTGTATCACTAAAATCCGTGCACCTTCATTAATTTTTTCAGAAAGTTTTAAATTATTTGCAAAATTGGAGACAATGATTGCAATTTTAGAAAAAAGGACACTTTTTATAAATAAAATGTAAAATTTTTTTTGTAAGTAAATTTTTTAATTTTATTAAGCAGATTTATTTATAGATAATATTATATATTAAAAAAATTCTTTAACCGTATGAATTTGAGTAAATACTTTTTTAGTGACAGTTGAAATTTGCTTATGTTTTTATCAAATTAAGTGATATTTTAGATCTTTAAAATAATTTAATTGTATTCGATACATGAATATTAAAGAAAATAATAATAAAACATGTATCTATAGCAATATAAAATACAATAAAATATGTTTGCTCAGTTTTTAAAATTCGAAAGCATTATTGCTTACAAATAAGTGAACTTAAATAAGTTTTCTATTATTTTTTTTTAATGAAACTTAAAAAAGTTTCTTCAGTAAAGTTTTTTTTTATTGAAATTTAAGTAAAAACTTACTAAAACATAAATTGAAAATGACGTCTAAATAGCCTAAAAAACTGTTGTTTATTATTTTGACGAAAGTATTTCAGACGAAATTATTAGTTAAATAATTTAATATGTTTATAAGTTTTGAAAAACGTAAACGTCATATTGTTGAATAATTAATTTTCATTTACTGAATAATTCATAATTACTCTGATCATACTTAATTAGTAATTATTCTAGCTGTAGTCAGGAATAAAAACTTTTAAAATAGTTTTACCAACAGAATTTGAAATTTTAGCGTTTATGTTTTCTTTTATATGCTTTAATTAACTTTCAATATTTTTTTCAAATATTAATTAAGAACAGCATTAAATATTAATAAATCTTAAATCATGAATCCATTTTTGAAGCCCCAATATCTTGAAGGGGTAAAGAAATGGCAAATATAATCTTCCTGTTTTCTCTTATGATTTTATTTACTCTATTTTTCATAGTTATTTCAAAGTATGCTAACAAAAGTTTTAAAGGGTAGGGACAACAATAAAATCTATGCACTATGCATATCAAAATTTAAATTTTTGAACCAGAATAATTCAACATTGTTAATATTAATTCCTTTACTTTAGCACAAAATATCGTACTTGGAAATTATCTAGATATTACTTTCAGCAGTTTTTTAAAAATAATAACGTGATTTTTTAAAAAAAATCTTTACTCTTTCTTTAATAAATATTTCTGTTTACTACTATTAAAAAACTTCACGTTTTCGGACTAAAAATAATATTTTACAAACTTAACTACACAATAAAGATTAAAATCTATGGATTTTAAAGTAATTTCAAGAATTCTTCTAACTACTTTAAAAACATTATAATGCTTTCATAAAAACTTTTCGTGCTTCTCATTGAACTTACTACCGGTTCTTTTTTGTTGATTTATCTCAACACTATAAATTTAAATACAAAAGAAACATTTACTCTAAAACTACTGCTCAATAAATCAGATAGTTAGTATGCATATTCCTTGTTTTATTTATATTAATTCAGAAAAAAGTTTTTAAAAAGTATATATTAATTAAAAAAGTTTTCTTTACAATATTGCGATGCTTTTCTAGTGTTTTCATTGGCAGAACATGTTAAATTTTTATAATGTTAATTGTTAGAAATGTTAATTTTTAGAAAATGTTCCAAGAAAATGACGCTTCGTAACGTTATGTGTTTCATCCTGCGTGAAATGAACTGTGAATGTACCGCAACTGTCGTGAAATCATTAGCTTCCCTTTTATATTTGAAAGACATAATGAATAATAAAATAAAAAAATGTTCTTACACATGCATTTGTTAAAATATTCAAAACTGACTTATGCTAAAACAGACTAAGCCTTTTCATTGTCTTGGCATTGCAAAAGACTATTTTTTATGAGGATTAAAAAGAAAAAAAAATTGCATCACCAACAGAACTTTAATATGTGTTGTCATTTAGAAATGTTCACTGAGAAAAAGCTTGTTGAAAACTACCAGAATATGGTAAAATTTATCACGTTTCTGCCTCTATGGAAACAACAAAAAGCTTGTTAGTTTTTACAGAAGAGCTTTGCGATTTTGGCAAAAATATCCATAAAATATTGTTTTATAATATGTGATTAAACTTAGTAAATGTGGTAAAATTTCGCAATTTTATCATGATAACTTAAAGTAATACTTTTTTCGTGATGCCTTTAGTACTTATCATATGTTGTAGTTGTTGTTGTCGTCGGCCATTAAGGCAGAGGGGTGTGATTGCCCTTGTTTTTCAGTGGCATCATCTATGACCAATATTTCGACTTCTACCCCACCCATACGTCACACCCGTTTATAGGGCGGACTCATTCATAGGTCTATTCATTCGTTCACTGATCAGAATTTTGACCTGAACCAGAGAACGATCCATCTCCAATTCAGTACCCCCAGAGGTTTGATTCGTTATAGGGAGCATGGAGGATTTTGTGACCCGACAAATTTAAAGTGCAGCAGTCGCCATTTACTACACCGACATTCTTCGACCGTACCGGCTGGATTCGAACTCCCATTCTCACAAACGTGAGTACAGCACCTTGCCTACCAAGCTATCCCGGCCAGTACTTGCCATATACTTTTTATAATGAAACCGAATAAATAGTTTATATGTCATGCTCTAAAATGGAATTGCTATATCATGATAAATGTACCAAATCTTCCAAATTTTACCACAGGTCATAAAACCATATTAAATTGTTAACTTTATCAAAATCGTTCCCATAGAGCCAAAAACACTGTAAAATTTGCCATATTCTGGCAGTTTTGGAAATAATTTTTTTTCTTACTGGTATTAGCACATATTTAGGTGCTTGTTGAATAATTTGAAGAAAAGAATCGAATTACAAAATGAAATTCAGACAACGTTTAATTTATTTCAATAGTTTTTCAAAATTTTTTTATTTTTGCTGATACGATTTTTTTAATTATCATGAGTCAAACTGCTATTAATATAACAAACTTTTATTCGATCTGCATGCTTTTTTACAAGACAAATTTTCTTTAGTTATTATATTTGATATGAAGTTATGGATACAAAATTAGAAATTATTAATATAAAAAAAGGATCGAAGTTTTTAAATATGCATATTTTTTATGCCTCTTATTTTTGTATATTTAAATATACTTTATTTTATTAGTTTAAATATAAGTTATATAATTAGTTTTTAAATCTATACAGTTTAGTCTTTTCCCACACCTTATTTCTGAAATTTTTAAAGTTGTTTAGTTAATTATTTTTATTAACTAATCATTCAATGATAAAATTGAAATTTTATGTTTTATAAGTTATTATTATGTTAGCATTAGGGTTTTACTTGTTAGTACTTATGTTTTTCACTCTATTTAATATTGCTACTTTAGATTAGAAAAAAGTGACATAGTTCCGATTTCGTATGTATAAACACAATAATAAGAAACCTGTGTTTACAATTTTTAAAGTTTTCATTGAATTATAGGCGGTTGTATTTAAAGTGTAATAGTTTTGCTTTAAATACATAAAAATTTAAACACCATAGTTAATACAAACAGTTTTCTCAAATTACATATTTTGTTTTTGTTCCTTTAGAAATGTTATATATTTAAATATATGCTGCATGCTGCTTAGCTATTTAAGCATATGCTGCATTTAATTGCTTAACTGTTTCTCTTTTTAAAAACAATGAATTCAACGTGCGAATTACCGTTTGACTCATGAACTGAAGAAATAAATGCATAGCTGGATAAATAACTTTTACTTTACATTTGGAAAAAAACTAACAGTGCTGTTTAAAATACTTGTAATTTTCTCATGAGATAAAAAATTGACTTGCCATAATCAACAGTTTATTTTCATAGTTTTAAAGCAACTTTGCCAAAGCGAAGAGAGTTACTTCAATGTATTAATCAATAAAGCTTCTGCCTCAAGGAAATATTATTTCAAATATACTTTTGAATGCAGCAATGGATAGTGATGTTTCGAAAGGAAAACTTTTATCAATATTGTACAAAAGAGTTTCGAATAATACGATTCTGCTCTAAAAATTGATAGGTAATTACTCACCTTATTAAATAAGAGCTTTTAAAATTGAATGAATAATTCAATTTACAAATGTAAAATAACGCAATTTTACGAGTTGATTAGACAAGTCAATAATTACACCCATAAAAAAATGAATTAATCCACTATTAAAGCGAAAATGTTTTCTGCTACAAACTAGAGTATCGATTGCCATCTCCGTAAACATTGCTTTACTAAAGTTTGAAGTAAAGTTTAAACTCAATATTTGATTCGGTTCTACAGCTGTACTGCGCTTATGATATCTTCGGTACTGCGCTTATGATATCTTCGGTACTGCGCTTATGATATCTGAGAACTTTTCTTGGGCACTAACTTGAAAAAAATACTTCGCTTGTACGTAAACAGAACATATATTCATTGTCAAAGAACTTTGTATCTCACTTAAAACTAAATTTAAATAATTAACATAAGTTTAAATAATATGGCTTGCTTTTATTTTATTATTTTTTAAATAAATATTTG